CAGACCCCTCCCTATAAGCCTCCCCTGCCCCAAACACCCCCTACCTCCTCCAGTGCCCCCCAAGTTGGTGTCCCCCCCCATCACCTTGTAGTAGATGTGGGTGATGGCATTGGAGACGATGCCGGCATCTTTCTCAACCCCTGTGTCTCTCAACCCAGGGCAGGGGGGCAACCAGGGGCCATCAGAGGTGGCCACGGACCCTTCCCCATAAACCTCCCTTGCCCCAAACGCCCCCTACTTCCTCCGGTGCCCCCCAAGTAGGTGTCCCCCCCACCATCACCTCCTTGTAGCTGTAGGTGATGGCGTTGGGGACGATGTCCGCGCCTTTCTCAACCCCTGTGTCTCTCAACCCAGGGCAGGGGGGCAACCAGGGGCCATCGGGGTGGCCACAGACCCCTCCTCATAAACCTCCCCTGCCCCAAACGCCCCCTACTTCCTCCGGTGCCCCACAAGTAGGTGTCCCCCCCACCATCACCTCCTTGTAGCTGTAGGTGATGGCGTTGGGGACGATGTCCGCGCCTTTCTCAACCCCTGTGTCTCTCAACCCAGGGCAGGGGGGCAACCAGGGGCCATCGGGGTGGCCACAGACCCCTCCTCATAAACCTCCCCTGCCCCAAACGCCCCCTACTTCCTCCGGTGCCCCACAAGTAGGTGTCCCCCCCACCATCACCTCCTTGTAGCTGTAGGTGATGGCGTTGGGGACGATGTCCGCGCCTTTCTCAACCCCTGTGTCTCTCAACCCAGGGCAGGGGGGCAACCAGGGGCCATCGGGGTGGCCACAGACCCCTCCTCATAAACCTCCCCTGCCCCAAACGCCCCCTACTTCCTCCGGTGCCCCACAAGTAGGTGTCCCCCCCACCATCACCTCCTTGTAGCTGTAGGTGATGGCGTTGGGGACGATGTCCGCGCCTTTCTCAACCCCTGTGTCTCTCAACCCAGGGCAGGGGGGCAACCAGGGGCCATCGGGGTGGCCACAGACCCCTCCTCATAAACCTCCCCTGCCCCAAACGCCCCCTACTTCCTCCGGTGCCCCACAAGTAGGTGTCCCCCCCACCATCACCTCCTTGTAGCTGTAGGTGATGGCGTTGGGGACGATGTCCGCGCCTTTCTCAACCCCTGTGTCTCTCAACCCAGGGCAGGGGGGCAACCAGGGGCCATCGGGGTGGCCACAGACCCCTCCTCATAAACCTCCCCTGCCCCAAACGCCCCCTACTTCCTCCGGTGCCCCACAAGTAGGTGTCCCCCCCACCATCACCTCCTTGTAGCTGTAGGTGATGGCGTTGGGGACGATGTCCGCGCCTTTCTCAACCCCTGTGTCTCTCAACCCAGGGCAGGGGGGCAACCAGGGGCCATCGGGGTGGCCACAGACCCCTCCTCATAAACCTCCCCTGCCCCAAACGCCCCCTACTTCCTCCGGTGCCCCACAAGTAGGTGTCCCCCCCACCATCACCTCCTTGTAGCTGTAGGTGATGGCGTTGGGGACGATGTCCGCGCCTTTCTCAACCCCTGTGTCTCTCAACCCAGGGCAGGGGGGCAACCAGGGGCCATCGGGGTGGCCACAGACCCCTCCTCATAAACCTCCCCTGCCCCAAACGCCCCCTACTTCCTCCGGTGCCCCACAAGTAGGTGTCCCCCCCACCATCACCTCCTTGTAGCTGTAGGTGATGGCGTTGGGGACGATGTCCGCGCCTTTCTCAACCCCTGTGTCTCTCAACCCAGGGCAGGGGGGCAACCAGGGGCCATCGGGGTGGCCACAGACCCCTCCTCATAAACCTCCCCTGCCCCAAACGCCCCCTACTTCCTCCGGTGCCCCACAAGTAGGTGTCCCCCCCACCATCACCTCCTTGTAGCTGTAGGTGATGGCGTTGGGGACGATGTCCGCGCCTTTCTCAACCCCTGTGTCTCTCAACCCAGGGCAGGGGGGCAACCAGGGGCCATCGGGGTGGCCACAGACCCCTCCCCATAAGCCTCCCCTGCCCCAAACGCCCCCCACCTCCTCCGGTGTCCCCCCCCACCTCTGTCACCTTGTTGTAGTAGCCGTAGGTGACGGTGTTGGGGACGATGCCGGCGCGTTTCATCTCCAGCAGCACCCGCACGGAGAGCACGGGTTCCCCGTACTGCCCACAGAGCTGCATCAGGATCCGGTAACACACCTGGGGGGGGGACATGTTACAGTTTGAGAAAACCCCTAAAAATAACCCATCATCATTTAGAATCATTGAATGGGTAGAGTCAGAAGGGACCTTCAAGATCATCTCCTTCCAAGGGCCACCTCCCACCAGCCCAGGTTGCTCCAAGCCCCCTCCAACCTGCCCTT